CAAGTTGAAAGTTCAAGTCGTCAATGATCTTTTTCCCCATTCCTTATTAGTAGAATAGGTTTGATTGTAATTTGTTTGAAAAAAAAAAAAAAAAAGAAAAAAAAAAAAAAACAGTTACATGAGCCAATCTCTAATATAAATAGGGAAAAGATAAATTGATGGTTAGAATCTTTATATCATGTAACCAATTTTTGGATTAACAAAAATCTTTCAAACGAAACATTTAGATGTTGTCATATATTAAAAAATCCTTGAACTCACTTACAGTAACTATTGATGATTGAAAAAAAATGATCATAAAAATATATTTAAGGAGCATAGGGCAAAGAGTAAGTATCAATAGATGGCATTTGACTCTTCATTTTTTTTGACTCTTCATTTTTTTGAATATTTAGACATTGACTTTTGCATTTTCTTTTGTAGGAGTTTTTAAATACTTAGAGTTTTGTTTTTTCATGTTAAATTAATGTTGCCTCTTTATCAACTACATTTATTCATCAATAATTTTTATCATTTACAATTGTCATTTATTTGCCTCTTCATCTACCACTTTTATTATTCATTATAATTTTCATTTATTTATAATTTTCATATAATTTATATATTTTGTTTTAACATTTTAAACTAATATAATATAATATTTTAAGTAAATGCATATCCTATTTAATGCGTAGGGTAGCCTTTTCTATATATATAATTAAAGTTTTAATAGTTTTTTCAAGTCTCATTAAAAAATATTCATAATTTATAACAATAAATAATTAAATAAAAGTTTAGAGTTTAAATATAACTTTTTATATCATAGACTATAATCATCATTTTTCAACTTATTGTTACACATGTTTCACTTTTAGTAACTTAAAATAGATAATTTTGAACCATTAACCACTATTTATTTTCTTTTTGAAACTATTACTTAAGTTTAAAATGCCCTAATAGCTCTAAAAACTAAAATATATATATATTTTTTTTAAGTCCAGAATTCTTGATAAAAATTCAGAACAAGATCCCCCCATGCAATGGGATAGGTACTAGTAATATCAACTAATTAAATTATCATAAACGTTTACCGTACCAAACTTTCGTCAATTTTAACAAAAAGATAGCAAAAATGGTTAACTCCAAATTAAAGTGTAGTACTTTAAGTTTTAGAAAAAAATAGTACTTTAATTCTAATAGAATATAATTATTCAAGGAGTACAATACAAAGATAGATTAAATAGAATTTATAATGAAATTGAGTAGTTAGTTCAATTTAAAAAAAAAAAAACAAAAAAAGAAAAGAAAAAATAGCAAGTTAAGAACAAAAAGCTTTAAAAGTTTCAAAGATTCAATAAATTTAAAAACTTTTAACAGTTAAATAAAAATAAAAAGGCTAAACCCCAAATTTGATCACTCAACTATTGTACAGATCCTGATTTAATCTTAAACTAAAAAAATCCAACTATTGTACAAACCCCGATTTAGTTCTGCAACTATTATATGGATCATTGATTTGGTTTATGCTGTTTACCAATTTGACTACAACTTTGGTCCTTTTATTAAAAAATAGTTTACTGTCTATTATTTAATGGTAAAAAATCATTACTTAACTACCACGTGTTACATTAATAATAAAACACGTCATTTGCTTTTGTACAAAAGGACCAATTTAAAGTCAAATTTATAAACAGTAAGAATTAAATGAGAGATTTTTTTAATTAAAGAACCAAATTGAGGGTCCGTATAATAGTTGAGAAACCAAATTAAAGATTTAACCAAACAAAAAGAGGAAGAATAGATACTAGGAATAGTATTAATGCACTTTCTTTTGACGTGAATAATAACTTTCTTTTGACATGAATAATAATCAACAAGATTGAATTAACTTATATTTACTTAATACTTTAGGGAATAATTAGACTAGTACAAAAAAACATAAAAAAATATTGATAAAATTCTAAAAATAAAAATTATCAATGAAAAACACTTGAGTATATACATTCCCTTTGACGAAGGGGTCTACTTCTTTGGAGAGGAAATTATTTGATTGCAATCTCAATTCTTTTTATGAGGTTGTGTGAGATCTAAAATTAAACTCTCCAATTTTTTGTACTTTTTTTTTTTTG